TGTCTATTACCCTCCTGATTTTGGTATCATCAGCAAACACACAAACATGGCTATTCACGCCCTCCCCAATATCGTTAATAAACAAGTTGAATAGCATGGGGCCCAGCACAGAACCCTGAGGCACACCGCTCATGACCCTAGACCAGTCTGAAAAGGTGCCATTTATCGATACTCTCTGTACACGTTCCTGTAGCAAGTTCTCTATCCACGTACACACCATTTCATCTATGCCCATAGACATTGAGCTTCAAACATAAACGCTTGTGTAGTAAGCGTTTATGTGGTACCGTGTTAAATGCTTTTGAAAAATCCAGATACACTACATCCATTGGACTCCCTCCATCCAGATCTCTACTTACCCCTTTGTAAAAAGTTAGCAGGTTGGTCTGGCAGGAACAATCCTTCCTAAATCCATGCTGGTTATCATTTACTATGCCATTATCCTGAACAAATTCTACTAAGTAGTCCTTAATAATTGCCTCTAACAGTTTGCAAACTATCAACGTAAGACTGACTGACTGGTCTGTAATTCCCAGTTTGGCATCTCGACCCCTTTTTAAATATCGGTACTACCGTAGCCCTCCGCCAGTCATTATGGATTCCTTTAAAAATTAGGAATAGTTGTCTCGTTATAACCTGGCTGAGTTCTTTAAGTACCTTGGGGTGCAGGTTATCTGGTCCTAATGCTTTATTTGCATTAAGTAGTTTAAGTCTATGTTGTGCCCCATTTTCTGTCAACCACTGAGGTATATTTTTGTATTGAACTATGTGTTTTCTTATGCACATTAAACCCGTCTTTTTCCCGAGTGTATACTGAGGAGAAAAAAGTATTCAATGCCTCGGCCCTCTCCCTGTCGTCTGTGACAAACTTCCCGTTTTCGTCCTTTATTGGGCCTATCTGCTCCTTTCTCACCTTTTTACTGTTTATGTATTGGTAGAATTTTTGGGGGTTCCTTTTACTAACTGTGGCTATATGCTTCTCACATTCAATTTTAGCTGCCCGAATTAGTTTTTTGACATCTTTTATTACATTCTTTGTAGTTATGGAACACCAACGGACACCAGTTTTGTGGGATTGGGCTGTTTCTTGGATCATCTGTCTGTGCAGGGTTTTGGTTTCTGGAGGAATCCAAGATTTAGATTGATGTCCTGTACTTGCAGGCGAGTTGCCTAACATTCTTTCACTGGACCCATCTTCTGTCTGGGTGTCTGATTTGTATTCAGGGAGACAATGCCACGGCAATAGCATACATCAGTCACCAGGAGTATGTGGACAGTGACGGAAGTACATTCAGTTTTACATTGGGGGAACTTCAGGTTCCAGGGATTTTAGTGGTGCACATTCCAGGAGTATAAAACTAGCAGTCAGACTTTCTTAGCAGACAACGCCTGGATCTGGGCAAATGTTCTCTCTATCTAGTGGTGTTTCAACAACTTTATCACTGCTTGGGAACTCTGGATGCAGACCTTCTGGCTTCCCATCACAACAAGGTGGACAGATTTGTGTACAGAGCAAGGGATCCAATGGCAGATGCGGTGGATGCCTTTATAGCTCCATGGGATCAGTATACTCAAATGTTTGTTTTTCCTTCACTAACACTGTTACCTCTTCTGTTTAGCAGGATGGTACACAAATTACTTCAGTCATTCTCATTACTTCAGATTAGCCTTGCAGGATGCGATGTGCCCATTTGGTTCATTTGTTGGCAGACGATACCTGGCTTCTTCCAGATTGGCCAGACCAGTTATCTCAGAGCCCAATCTTCCACCTTGCTTCTCAGTCGCTGGCTTTGATGGCCTGGCGGTTGAAACTCAAGTGTTAAAAGACAAAGCAATTTCAGATTCTGTTATTCCAACTATGCTTAAGGCTCATAGATCTTAGATATTTTTTAACATATCGGTAAGATTTATTTTTGTTGTTGTGCTTGTTTGGGGGTTTCCACACGTCGTGTTCCTTCTATATTGCGAATCTAGTTAGTCTCATAAAGGGTCAGACATCTGTCTTGTCGGTCCTTTTTCAATGTCCTCTTGCTTCTAATTCCTTAATTCTTACTTTTCTCTATTTCTAAGTGGATTAGTTTGCTTGTGTTTGAAGCTTAGGAAAGACCAGGTTGAATAAAGTCACAGGTCCATCCAGTTCAACCTATATGTGTTTGTGTATGTGTGTACACATGTGACAACTCCCAAATCCTGTATGTTCTATGGACTGAAAAACAAATTGTTTTTTGAAGTTATCGCTATGTCAGAATGTTTATACTGCTAAAATAAACAGTTTTTCTATTTATGCAAACAAGCAACGATCTATAATTATAGAGATTCCCAACTTATTTCCACAAATCAAAAATAACTTGAGTTTGTTTATTTTTGCTAACCTGAAGACAAGATGAGTACAATAGTGTGCAAAAATATATATATTTATTAACTAAAATCAGTGCAGAATAATTAAAATATAATTGGTGACAAACAAAGAATATGGATCAAGATTTCAATAATATTGATAACACAGGTAATGTGAAAATACAATCATAGGATATTATTCCAAAATATAAATTTTCCAAAACTGAGTAACTTCTTGAATACAATTAGTAGCTTCTCAGTAGCTACAGAATGTGAAAACAAAATGTGCAGATTTGACACATGACTTCTCTCAGGCATCATGGGCAAAATGTGTTACACCATGCACAGAACTGGCTATAAGCCAAGAATGTATTTAAGGTAAAGACAAATTTCCACTTAATTAATTTTAAGTATACATCATAACTAAACCATTGACTAGAAACTGAAATCAGCTTCCAGGAGATTATACTGATTTGTGTATTTCTCCCCAAGTTTGAAAGATATAATTTATACAGCAGTTTAAAATTATCTCAATTCAATCTAGATGCTACGAGGACTAAATGGTCTAGTTAGATATATAGGCTTAGTCAATTTGCCTACAGAAAAATAGAAATGTATACTTTACCAAAAAGTGCCAAATCTTTTGTCTGAGAGATGTCAGCTTTGTTTCAATGGAGGAACAAGGGATGGTCAGGTTCTCTTCAGTTCAGTTCCCTTGGTCAGCCGTCATCAGCTTCCGACCTTTATCCCTGGTATGTACTTCCTTTCTGCTTTTTCTTTTGGATCTCCCCTGCTTTCAACTTCCATTAAACCTTTATCCCCAAGGAATGTGGGCGTGGATTTCCTTTTCCACGTAATTATGACGTCAGATGGGGCATCATTTTACTATGTACCTCTTCCTCGCAATCACCTGAAGGGGGCACTATTGGACTGTATAAAAGTTTGGATTTATAATTGAAATTCTACTATTTTCATAAAAGATAGCCTCTGACCTAAGCCATAAATATAATAGGGTGGTCTATTCTATGGCAACATCTGTCCTCCTTACCGTCTCTTCATGGATATACAGCTTTAAGAAAGTCTAAACCAGGGCAATTAGCATTCTTTCTCCAAATACTTTGAAAATGAAAGAATGTGTGTACCAGGTACAGTGGTTCTCCCCCCCCCAAAAAAAATTATAAAAATACATTGGTATATCCACCTAATTCTATGTACTTAAAACACAAACCCACCATATTAATAATACATGCTAATATTTTTCAATGAGTAAAAGCAAACAATATACAATGAATATAGGTTGAATATTGTAAAAGTACATAAAAAAAAAATATGTGAAATTATTCAATTAGGTAAACATACACTATTAATAACATAATAGAAATTATGGCTAATATAATCACTTGCAATTAAGAGTACTGATTCATAAGGCAACTTTTAAATGAGTCCCTTTTTCCAGTAATGAGAGAGAGAAAAAAATTTAAACATTCCAGTCTCTTGTTCATTGTTGAAATTGAGACATGACGGTCATCAATCTCATTATAACACAGTCCGGCACCATGGCCAGTCCTTATCTTGTGTTTGTTGTCTAGGACCCCACAATTTACTACCTGGGAATGTATATGTGGTAAGGCCCTTAAAATTTCTGTAATAGTCTTTGTCCAAGAATATGGACTTGCATTCACCTTCTAACAGACAGACAAAGATGGCTTCCAGGATGCCCATATAAAGATATGTATAGGCCTTATAAATGAATTCCTTTTAGCCCAATAGTTCTGCTTTCAGCTGATATTACTAACTGCGGAAGGGAATACCACATTTTTTACTGCTCTGACATTAAAAAAATGTTTATACTTCATTGTGGAAGAATCATATTTTAAAGGAGAACTATGAGGTGAGTGCTTTTCACTCACCTCATAGTTCTAGCCGACCTGTGACAATGAGACTGTCACAGGTCGGCTCAGTAGATTGGGAGGTGAGTGAACACATACCGGCGTTCGATCACCTCTCGATCCTGGCTGGATTCCCCCCTCCCCGCTCCGATCCACCAACGCTGACTGGCGGAACGGACGGGGGAGGGGGCGGGTACAGCTGGCTCTGCCTCTAGATAGGCAGAGCCAGCTGTCAGTCACGCAGCTGGGCGGATCCCAGGCTGGATTCCCCCCTCCCCGCTCCGATCCACCAACGCTGACTGGCGGAACGGACGGGGGAGGGGGCGGGTACAGCTGGCTCTGCCTCTAGATAGGCAGAGCCAGCTGTCAGTCACGCAGCTGGGCGGATCCCGGCAGCAGCTCGCGGTATACTGAGCCTAGGGTGACGGCAAGGCGCTAGTTTGTGTCCTTCCGTTACCCTAAGAAGAACTATGGGGAAAAGCCTTAACCCCATAGTTCTCCTTTAAGGAAACTTCCTCCGTTATTGAGCATCTCAGAACGCACTGCTGTGCCCTCCAAAGTCTTCCTCATCCTAATCTGTTTACAGTTGTGAAGAAGAAAGTGGGCAGAACTTAATGGTACATTGCAGTGTGACTGAACTTCACCCTTAAAAAATTCTTTAAAACCTTCTGACTGGTAGAAAAAAAAAATTATATTGTTGGAATTGATTATTTTTATTAGAAAACAATATTTTTTCCTAGATATATTCAATTATCCTGTTTAAATATTTTTCAGGATAAAATCTCTCATGCAAAGCAGATTAATCCTGAGAGAATTGAAGTCACTCCAAGTGCTAAAAGTCTGGATGCAGAAATTAAAACGCTGAAGGCGAAGATCAACTCGGAGCGCGATCTTCACGGAAATGGAGAAGAGATTATAAAGTAAGTTAAAGGTCTACATGAGTCTCATTCAGGTTTTTGTTTCAATTTGATTGAACAGGTTTTCTGCTTTAGCTACCTGATTTTCTACTAGCTTCTTCAACTTCATAATGGTTAAAAGGTAAATGTTTCCAACTGCAGTATTCAGTTATTCATGTTCTGCCTAGCTCCAAAGTATTTCCATATTTGACACATGCGCAAGCATTCCTTTTATATAGAAGAGTGCGGAATTCATTCATTCATAAGAAGGAATAGTTATACTTCTCTAGGGCTGCAACCAACTAATCGATTAATTGATAATAATCAATAATGGTAATAGTTGTCAATGATTCTCATAATCGATTAGTTGGTGTGTATCCTTCAGTTTCATCCTCTGCGATGGGAGCCAGTGTTTTATCAGCTTGGTGTGGGGGGGGGGGACACAGTTTGGATACTTGGGGCAGTACCGTCTGCCCCTCTTGTCTACCTCCAGCGCCCCTCCCAGTCTGCCTGGGGCCCTGCGCCTCTATGGAGGCACTCTCTTCTGTGCTAGAGGGGTTTGTGACACACAGTGAATAGGCATTCTCCTGTGCTCATTGTAAGAAGCGTCCGCCTCTGTCTTTCTCCTTCTGAGTCTTAAAGTTGGGGAAGATGACGCTCTCTGTTGCGGTCTCAGCGGACACTGCATTGTCTGGCCAGTCAGGTAGTGACGACAAGTCCTTCTTCTTTTTGCAAGAGATAATTTGTTTTGGCACTGATTAAGTCTGTGCGCAACACTCTTAAACTGAAGGATTCTGGGAGTGTTTTCGCCTTATACTCTGGTTCCTTTTCATACTCATAGGTCATGGCGTTCGGCAAGGGTGTTACCTTACCACACCTTTTTTCATTTTATTTACAAGGAATGGGAGCGTCCATCTAAGTCTTTTGTTCTACTCAAGCACATCTCTGTTCGCTATCCCTTCAAGGAGGGGTTTCTGAAGAAGTGGACGTCTCTCCTAGTTGTGGTCCCCCATTGTCCCATTTGAATAAGGCTACAGTAACTTCGGTGGAAGAATATCCCCTTTTCAAGGATCCAACAAACAATAAAACCGAGGTGGGTGCACGGTCCATGTATACCGTCACGGGATTGGTATTGCGGACAGTTTTGGTGTCCTGGATGCTCACTGAATGGGCGAAGCTCTTGCGGCAGGGTTTGTAGAATAAGCAGGTTTCTCTTGCATATGGGGAGCTGGTGAATCAGTTAGTCCATGGTCTTTGGTACGTATGCAATGCTTCCCTGGATATGGGCCCCTTGCTATCCAAGCCGTCAATGCCTGCACTTCTGCATTGTCTCATGTGGCTCAAGTGCTGGTTTGCTGACCAGACATCTAAGAAGGCGTTGACGGATCTGCCTTTGTTTGGGGCAACACTGGATGATATTATCAAGAACCTGACTTGTGGCAAGAGTACCTTCCTACCGCTGCTTATGAAGGGTAAGGAGCCATGGCGTAAGCAGGGCCTTTCTTTTTTGGCTCATAAGCACCTTGTTTGTTTCCAAAGCTTGTCCGACAAGGGTCAAAAGTAGGGTAAGTCCTGAAAATTCAAAATGGAGTCCATTCGCTCTGTGGCGGCCTCTCTCCACCAGAGGGATTTCTTGTAGGGCTGCAATTAACAATTTTTCTTTTCATAATCGATTTGTTGGCTGATCATTTTTTTTCAATTAATCCTATTTAAAAACAACAAATTAAATACCATCCTTAATTTAAAATAAAATACACAAATGGAGTGTTACAAACATAGTTTACTTCAGAATAAAACTGAATGCACAATGTTTTCCAATTGCACTGTACTGTAACGTATGGCATTGCGGTACCATGCGTTTCAGTGCGGGTGGGAGCATTTGGGGTACCACTGAAATGAGTAGCACCACAACACACCTCCCGCACCAGAATTTTTATGGCCGAAACCAAAAATTACTCTTTTTCACACTGTTTTTTTTTTAATAATTGAGGGAAGGGCTGCTTTTTTTGACGATGGATGCCAGTCTCACGGGTTGGGACGTAGTGACCAGACAATGGTCAGCACAAGGCCGCCGGACCAGGTTGGAGTCCGGGTTGCTGATCAATGTTCTGGAGCTTTGTGGATCAGACTTGAATCAGATCAGGAGACTTAAGTCTCCTGCACTGGACGGATCTTCTGCGCGGGGGAACATCAGGATCCAGTCAGACAATGCCGCAGCTGTGACCCATATGAATCATCGGGGGGCATGAGGAGTTGGGCCGCTGTGCTAGAGGTGTCTCACATCCTGCATTGGGTGGAACGTCTGGTCCCGGCTCTGTCAAGTCTTGGAAGTTTGGCAGGCAGACTATCTGATTCGTTGGGGATGGAGCAAGGGAAATGGACCCTTCGTCCGGAGGAGTTGCAACAAATATGCCAAAGGTAGGGGACTCTAGATGTGGATCTTCTGGCCTCACCTCAAAATCAAAAGGTAGATTGTTTTGTGCCCAGAGCGCTAAATCCTTGGGTGGACACGGTGGATGCTCTGATAGCACTGTGGGACAGGTACAAACACATTTATGCGCTTCCCACTGTGAAACTTTTTCAGAAGCTACTGTGGCAGGGGGAAGTCAAGGGGATTCCGGTTGTTCTGGTAGTTCCGGATTTGATTCACTTGGTTGCAGACGTTGCATGGTGGCTTCCTCTTTGGCCAGATCTGCCATTGCAAGTTCCCATTTGCCACCCTTCTTTACCGTCGCTGGTTTTGACGGTGTGGCTATTGAAAGCCAGGTGTTGAAGGGTTGGGGACTATCAGATTCTGTCATCTCTGCTATGCTTCGAGCTCTTAAGTCAGGTTTCAGCATAGGCGCTTCTTTTCCAGCGCCCTTTGGCTTTACGGTCCTTGGTGCATACCTTTATTCAGGGGGTGTCTTGTGTTTCTCCTCTGGTTTGTAGAAATGTCACCAGCACACCAGTCCTTTTAGGATAGCAAACGCTTCATTTATTGAAGTATTTTGTCATAAGACCAAATGTTGGTCATATGACAAAAAACTTCAATAAATGAAGCGTTTGCTATCCTAAAAGGACTAGTGTGCTGGTGACATCTCTACAATTTTGACATTTGCGGCGCCATCCCCACTACAAGGGACATATATCGGTAAGGAGTGCGACAAGGATAGTACTTATTCTCCCCTGGTTTGTTCTCCCTTGCCTCCCCGGTGGGATCTGAACCTGGTACTGTCTGCCTTGCAGAATCCTCCCCTTTTTGGTAGGCATCACCTCAGCTAGGAGGGTCTCTGAGTTGGCTGCCTTTCCTGTAAGCCTATGTTTTTGGTCTTGCATTAGGACAAGGTGGTTCTCCGTCCGTGCCTTTGCTTTTTTGCCTAAGGTGGTGTCTGCTTTTCATATCAATTAGGATATTTTACATTCTTCCTTTTGTTCTCGTCTCGCACATCATAACGAGATGGCCCTTCATTGCCTGTATGTGGTTAGGGCTGTGCATATTTATCTTTCTGCTACAGAGTCTTTTCGTAAGACAGACTCCCTTTTTGTTGTCACTGAGGGCTCTAGGAAGGGAAAGGTGGCTTCTGCGGCTACCATTTCACATTAGATTAGGCAGCTTATCATTCAGGCTTATGTCCTTAGGGATCAATCCCCGCCTTTTCCGGTTACGCCTCATTCTTTAGGGTGGTTAGCACTTCCTGGTCCTTTTGGCATCAGGCTTCTGTTGTGCAGGTTTGTAAGGAGGCCACCTGGTCTTTAGTGCACACTTTCACTCCGTTTTATAAAGTTGATGATGTTGCTTCTGCGGATGCATTTTTTAGTCTCAAAGTTCTACAACAGCCTGTTTAGTGTGTGGGTACCTATTCTTGCTTGTTCTTTTTGTTGCCATTATCGCAAAGGCATTCCAGTTTTTGTATGCTTAGATGACCTTTTACTTCAAGAACAGTTTCTTCTGACTTTGAAGCTCAGTGTCTCAATGATACTGCAGACATTAGAGGACTTTGGGTAGATTCTAAAAATTGAGAATCCATCCCTGGTTCCATCACTTTGCTTGGAGTATTTGGGTTTTCTGTTGAGTACCTTTTTCAAGAGAAGGTGTTCCTTCCTCAGGACAAAATATTGAAGTCGTGGGATCAAGTACTGGTATTGATGCTGTCAACCTTCAAAGTGGTATCTTTTTTGCTCAGTTGCATTCCAGGATTTTGCAGAGGAACATTCTTATAGCGTGGGACAAGTCTCCTCTATCATAGGACAAGATGACCAGATTGAGTTCAGCAGCCAGGATGTCTCTGTCATGGTGGTTGACTTCCCCAGCGTTGACAACAGGGATGTTTTCTTTTGGCCTTGTTAAACTGGAATAGTCTTCTGTCTTGGTGTCCGTTTCGGATTCAGTCATACAATGCCACAGCGGTGGCCTACATCAATCACCAGGGGGGCACCAGGAGTGTGCCTGAGGCAACAGAAGTACATTTGATCTTGACTTTGGTGGATCTTCATGCTTCAGCGATTTTAGTGGTGCACATCCAAGTAGGATTTCAACTAACAATTTATTTTCATAGTTGGCTTTTTTGATTTAATAGGATAAAAGTTTTTTAAGTACCATCTTTTATTTAAAGTAAAATACACAAATGGAGTGTTACAAACATAAAGTTTACTTTAATATAAAACATGCATGCACAATTTTTTGCAATCGCACCACAGTGGAACGCACAGCATTGCGGTACCACGAGTTCCAGTTCCATTGAAATGAATGGCACTGCAACGCACCTCCCGGGAAACAGAATTTGTCAGGCCGAAACCGAAAATGACTTTTTTCCCACACCTTTTTTTAAATAATGATATTCATTTTAATTTGGTTCACAGATTTAAAATCTGTATTGGGAAAACTTCAAGCCAATAAAATAACCACTTTTTTATTTAAACTAACACAGCAAAATTGTACTAGATAGATAGATAGATAGATAGATAGATAGATAGATAGATAGATAGATAGATAGATCGATACTTTATATTTAAAAATAAAAAAGGGTCATCAGTTTAGATTT